CTTCTACAATGAGATGCTTTGTTGTGGATGCTGCAGAAGAAGTGACGTGTCATTTTTGCACATAGAGACAAAACGTCTCATATTTGAATCTCTTCATTTCTGTATATATGAATAGATATGAATTAGCTAAAAAGTACTTAACAGGGAGAGCAGTTTTTGGTCGATGTCTGCACGGCGGTGAGAAAACGCTTTAGCAGAGTCTACATAAATCCTGACTGTGCAATCACATAAAGGTTATAAAACATATTGATAGGACCGTTGACCTCCATCCAACCTCCGTCCTGCAGGCTCCCTGCTAGCATCCATCAGAGGGGAAGCAGAGTGTGTTTAACCTCCATCAGGTCCTCCACACACACCTCCCTTTGAAGTGTGTGTGTGCAGACAGGTGTGCAGAGATGGCAAAAGTACACACCTCCTTTACTCAAGTAGAAGTACAGATACTCGTGTTTAAAAATACTCTGGTGAAAGTAGAAGTACTGACTAAACTTCTTTACTCAAGTAAAAGTAAAGAGGGCTTTGAAATGTACTTCAGTAAAAAGTACCATAACTAGCAGCTGTTTTAAAGAGTACCTGACCTCCCTTTATATTAATAGTGTGTGTGTGAGTGTGTGTGTGTGTGTGTGTGTGTGTGTGTGTGTGTGTGTGTGTGTGTGTGTGTGTGTGGTGTGGTGTGTGTGTGTGTGTGTGTGTGTGTGTGTGTGTGTGTGTGTGTGTGCAGACAGGTGTGTGAGAGACAGATTGACTGCATTTCATGTGTGTGTTTGCCAGTGGTTATGTAATGAAGTACATTTACTCAAGTACTGTTCATAAGTATAACATTTTGAGTTTGTAAATGTTGTAAGAGTGGAAAGACTGACAGACTATTTCTTAACTTTTTCCGTCAATGGAGTCTGGTGGCTTTAAAGGAGAGCATATTTAATTATTTGTTTTGTATGTGAATGCAGTAATCATTCCAAAACACCCTGTTGAATACTTATTAAAGAGACCCTGTTGTGTTTTTTTGGGTTTTCTCTTGCCTGTAGTATGTTCTATAGGTTTTAGTGCATCTAATGGCGCATTTCCACTGCAGGGCCTCACTCGGCTTAGTACGGTATAGTTAGGCCTTGGTAGGCCAGGCTCACTTTATGCTGCGTTTCCATTACAGTTTAGTAGCTGGGGCAGTAACTATAGTAACGAAGTGTCGGCGGAGCCGTGACGTCATCTTCAATGCAAACCACAAAACCAAACATCAGCCGTTAGCTGTTAGCACTCAGAGCTCACAGCTCCTCATATCTGTTCAGAAACTAGACACAAGTTAAACAAGTACAAACCACAGACTGCCTGTGTCATGGTGAATACAGTCGCTGCTTTATTTATGTCTGTATAGGCCGTTGTTGTGAGTGTGGACGGTCGGAGTATATACAACGTTAGCTTAGCCAGTCTCCATTCAGAAAACACGCATTTTAAAAGGTTCTTCGCCTGCCGTCTGTCTGCAGACTTGTCAAAGCATTAATTCATGGTTTTTACTAACCGGTATCAGTATGTTGTTACTTTCGGCATCATTTTGAAACGTGTATTACAATTAAATCACGGTCAAATATGTTCATTTGGTTGTAGTTGCCAGCGATTCTCTCTCTAGTTTAGCATACTCAGCCCGGTTGTTGGTCCGGAAAGGACCTCGATTTTGGAGAGCCAGAAAAACTGTGAAAAAGTACCCGCTAGCTGGAACTACCCCTAGTGGAAACGCAACCAAAAACGACGGCACGCTTAAACTGCGCTGTAGTGGAAATGCGCCATAAATTGTCTGCAAAGGCTAAAATCCCTGTGTTCCCTCCAGAGGGAGTTTCTCTCCCACACACTCTCCCTTTGTCTCAGTGTTAGTTGACAGTAAAGTGCTAAATCTGTTGATGTTTGCTCAGTAATGACGACATGCTGACCCTCCACTGCCACACTTGTATACCATGTCACTGCATCAGAGTAATTGAAGTACGTGAAACCAAATCCTGAATGTTATAAGAATGACCGTGATGGTTTATTTCTTGTCCTTGACGGTTTTGGTTTACCTGTAAAAGTAATTTGCTGTTGTTTGTTTTGTACAAAGGAATGATTTGTTTAAAACAATGAATCAAATATCACGGATGCTGAAGACGATGACCTGAACTTTAATTTAATGAACATTGTTTGCGAGAGGAGCACCAGAAATGTTTTTAAGCTTCTCCTTGCTCCTTTTGAACATGACGGAAACTATTTCAGAATCTATTTTGTATTTTTATGCCATTAAAGTTTGTTTATTTTGTACATTACAATCTTTGTTTATTGTTATTATTATTGCTTGTTTTCTTTTTAACAAATTGACTAAAACAAAATCATTAAATAAATAATTAAATCCACTTTGTTTTAATGTATTTGTAGTGGTGGCTGCTGTGGGTCATTTCTCTGGAACAGACCATCTGTGAGCTCAAAGCCTTTAATCAGCTCCAGAGTCCTTAAGAGCTTAAAAAGCACAAGCAGCAAACTTTCACACACATTTCCCCCTCAGCTCTCTCAGCGTCTTAATGACAGCACATTCTCCTGTGCCGTGCCTTTGGTTTCCCTCATTACCCTAACTGTGTAATGAGGGAGCATAGGGATTTGAGCCTTTTCAGACCATTGACATGCACTAAACCCTATAGAACTCACTACAGGAGAGAGAAGAGCACAACAGGGCCTCTTTAATAAGTATTCAACAGGGTGTTTTCGAACGATTACTGCATTCACACACACACATTCAACATTAGCATCACTTCAGTCACATGCTTTTATCACATGGCAATACTTATGTTGATGAAGAAGAAGAAGAAGAAGATACACTTTATTAATCCCTTACAGGGAAATTTCTTTCATGTATAATGCTGTATAATCTTTTTTTATGCTATGACGTTTGTATTTAGGCTGCAGCCACACGGAGACGAAACGGGTCGTATCCGCTACAGTTCTCTATCTTATAGACCAGGGGTGTCAAACTGAATTTCATCACGGGCCACATAAGCATTATGGTTGCACTCAAAGGGCCAGTTGTAACTTTAAGACTACATAAAAATACATATATAAATATTGAATATATATAAAATAATGTATTATATTACATTATTTCCTCTGCATTGGATTATTATCGGATAGGGTAATAACTTCATAATTAACTACGTCTGAAAGCAGAAGTCTAGGGCAAATAATTGCAAGTCTCTTCAGTGAGAATGTCACAATATGATTTTAAAAGAAAAGCCACATTCTGGAAAAACAAAAAAAAAATTTGAGAAAAAGGCTAGTTCTAAGAAAAAGACATATTTTGACAACAAAAAGTCAAATTTGAGATGCATTGTGGGACATGTAGTTTATGGGCAACGTGCTTCTGTAAATCGCCATGTAACCATATAATAAACATATTATATTCTTTGCAAGCTCTTGTGGGGCCACAGAAAATGAAGTCGCGGTCCGGATTTGGCCCCCGGGCCTTGAGTTTGACACCCCTGTTATAGACGGTTCGGCCACACGAGCCCGACAGGGAAACGCAGATAACGATAACGGGGCCCAAGGTGGGTAGATCTGCGGACGCAACGCTCTGGGGGGCCAAACGGCTCCGTGTGTGTCATTTCCTGATAACGATGAAGCCATAGCCCCGCCTCTCCCCACCTCTGCTGCTCACTGCTACTGTAGCTACTGACCATGCTACAGATGTTAGTGCAACATCTACAGCTCCTCTACCACAACCATCAGCAAACAAGTGGACATGGAGAACTACATGAACTACATGTTGCTAAATCCACCGCGGAGAATAAAGAGAAGGGCAACCAGGCAACCAGGCCACCATGCTCGGGGGTCTTCTTCGCTGCTTTTGGTGTATTTTGTGGCGGAAGTACAGCGCCACTTACAGGCCCGGCATATGTACTACAGCGTCTCCAGCGGGTCGAGCTGTCTCGTGTGGATGGACACATTTCTTGAGCCGATCCGTGTGGACGGAAGACTTTTTTGATATCGAATTCGGTTTGTTTTCGTCTCCGTGTGGCTCCAGCCTTAGTTTTTGATTGCTTTGTACAGCCCTTTGAGGCATTTCTTGTGATTTGGGGCTATAGTGATTTGATTTGATACAAAACAATTACATGACATACATCATGAGTCCGGACAGATTTAGCTCCAGGTTCTGAACTGAGAGGAGGTTCTGGTGAGATGAACCCATCGAACTACAACAGAACCCTCAGAGCTGGGTTTATGGTTTGGTATGAGAAGAATATTATTGATTTCTTTCACAGACAGAAAGAAACAACTGGAAGATGAGACTCCGATGTATTATTATGTGTATTATTCATTTTCTGACAAAAACATCGATTAATTAACACAATAAAATATTAAAATAGAATAAAGATGCTCCATTTTACAAAAATATTAATTTATAGAGACTAAAAAATGTAGTTAAATACAATAAAATTAAATAAGGGTCATCAACCCCAAATTACAAAAAAGAGAATGCTATTAAATTAAAATTAAAGAAAGGTCAGTTTCCCCACATATTGATCAGGGTCAATAAATAAAATAAACAAATTATTGGTTACTCTAAATAAAAAAATAAAGAATGCCAGTTACTCAAAAATAATAACTGATAGATACAGATATATAAATAAATACATCAATAAATCAAGTAAAAGAAGATTACTTCCCTCAAATTATGAATAAAACATATTTTGATACCAGTCCGTCTGTCTGTCTGTCTGTCTGTCTGTCTGTCTGTCTGTCTGTATGTATGTCTGTCTGTCTGTATGTATGTCTGTATGTATGTCTGTCTGCCCGTCTGTCTGTCCGTCTGTCTGTCTGTCTAACAAAAGTTTATGCATATATATATATATATATATGTGTGCATTTCCTTCTCACTAACACCTCACCTTTATACAGTAATAAGCTGCACCACATTAGCACACCTTGCTATAATTAGCCGGCGGTCCTGAAGGCAGCACCGCAGGGGGAGTTCACTGCTTCACTTCCGCGTTGTGTGTGTGTGCGTGTGTGCGTGCGTGTGACCGTAAAGCAGGAAGCTCTGCAGTAAGTAACCAGTTAATCCTCCTGCTGCTGCTGTGTTACCTGCAGGTATGTGCATGTCACCCTTCAAAATGTGCATTTAAATGTCTCTTAACGTCCCCTGAACGCACCGCAGTGTTTCCGGACGTTAGAAAGGTGTTAGCTTCAGATGCTAACTCCTGCAGTGTTTACAGTGCTGATGCTAATTCCGATGTATATCTGTGTGTGTGTGTGTGTGTGTGTGTGTGTGGTGACCTAAAGCGGCTGTTTAAGGGGGGATTTCTGATGTTAAAGAGTCTTTTTTCCGACTCCAGGTGAAGAGAGAGCAGGAGGAGCTGCATGGAGGACAACTGACCAGAAGACCAGACATTAGCACCAGGATGCCAGCCGGTAAGAGAGAGAGTGTGTGTGTTGTGTGTGTGTGTGTGTGTGAGAGAACGTGTGTGTGTGTTTGTGTGAAGGTGTGTGACATTGACAGTGTGTGTGTTGACATGTTGAAGAAATACCATTACATTTGATGTGCATGTGGTGCGTTTACTGTCACGGTTTTCGCAAATTTGAAGAGCTGATGTGAGGGTTAAAGTTTGAAATAAAGTACAATGTTGTGTTCACTGTCACTGCTTGTGTGTGTGTGTGAATTGTGGATAAATAACCATACACATCAGTGTGCATGTGGTGCGTTTAATGTCACTGTTCTGGCTAATAACTAAAGCCGTTCAAGTTAAAATGCGTTCACTGTCACTGTGTGTGTGTTGACATGTTGGAGAAATACCTCGACTCATCAGTGTGCATGTGGTGCGTTCACCGGCACTGTTGTGGCTATCTTTTGAAACTGTGTGTGTGTGTGTGTGTGTGTTGTGTGTGTGTGTGGTGGTGTGTGTGTGTGTGTGTGTGTGTGTGTGTGTGTGTGTGTGTGTGTGTGTGTGTGTGTGTGTGTGTGTGAGAAACTGACAGTGTGTGTGTTGACATGTTGGAGAAATAACCCTACATATCAGTATGCATGTGGTGCGTTTACTGTCATAATTTTGCTAATTTTTTGAAAGCAGTTGAAGTTTTAAAACAGTTGCAATGATGCGTTCACTGCCACTGTGTGTTTGTTGGACATTGACATGTTGGAGAGACAACCCCACACTTGAATGTGCATGTGGTGCGTTTATTGTCACGGTTTTGGCAAATGTAAGTGCTGACATCAGGGTTAAAGTTTGAAAAGAGTGCAGTGATGCGTTCACTGTCACCGCTTTAGTGTGTTGTCATGTTGGAGAAATAACCCTACACTTCAATGTGTCACGTGGTGCGTTTAATGTCATAGTTTTGGCTAATTTCTAGAACAGTTGAAGTTGAAAAACAGAGGACAGTGATGCGTTCACTGTCACTGCTCGTGTGCTTATATCAACGTGGGGCCAATTTCTGATACTGAAGCTACAAGTTCTGCTTTTTAAGGTTGTATATGAATTGGACATTATATGTTTATTAGGGCATCATTTCAGGCCCATCACCCTTTCTGCCAGTTTACAGACAACAATTAAAGCATAAAGTAATTTCTGACTCAGTCGGTGATTAATATGATTATTAGTGGCATCAACAGGACTAACCTGATGTCGTGCTGCGTTCAGGTGTGTCTGTGATGTTTACTCTGAAACACATGCCTCAGCAGAATTAATTTGTGCTGTTGTCCACCAAAACCACTTCTATTATGTGTGAACAGAGGGAAGGTCAGGGCTTTGTTATGTCCCCTGCTGTCAGGTTCACTGGAGACAGGTGACTCAGGTGTGGCTGTATGAGAGTCATCATCAATAAACTGTTGGAAATATCATGACTAACAGGTTGTGAAATATACAGATGATTATCAAACATGTTATAATCATCAATTCTCATTTCCCTACATGCATTGCAGCAAAGCAGCCTTCTCCCTTTTGTTGCTCCTTAGTTTTAAACAATTTATTTGAATAACAACCAAAATTGAAATGAAGTTGATTGGCTTGAAAGATTGATTTTAAAATGCTTACTTTCCTATAGAAACACATGTTTAGATCCAGTCATATTAAAGGAGTAATATTACATTATTATCAGTAATATATGTCCAACACAGGCTGACAAAACTGTGTGTGTGGTGTGTGTGACACAACAGCTGCTGTGTGTTTGACATGTTGGATATATAACCAATATTTCAATGTGAAAGTGCAATATCAATATCTCACACGCACACTCACACCAACACACTGTGAGGCCCTGACTGTAACATGTGCTAAGGATTAACATAATATAGGTAATCTCACTTTAAATAACTACTCACACACATTCTTGGAATCTCATTGGAGTTAGGGAAGTTTCCTGCCCTAGTTTTTGTCAACAACATACAAGTTAGTGTTGACTGTATGATCGAATCATTGATTAGTGTAGCAGGTTTTTGGTTGTTATCCTGAAATAAAGTCTGTGTTCAACACAAGCTGAGGAGTTTTTATTCTACGACATGAAATACGTCAGTAAATACCTCACTGGTGGATTACGAAACAGAGGTTGCTAACAAGTGTCTAAACATCATCACACCCAACATTAGCCACCCTTTAGCTTAGCGTGGTGACGTGAAGTCATGTGACCTTGCTGTAGTTCCTTTATAAGCCCAACATTAGCCTCCTTTAGCTTAGGTGGTGGTGACGTGAAGTCATGTGACCGTGCTGGAGTTCCTTTATAGCCCAACATTAGCCTCCTTTAGCTTAGTGGTGGTGACGTGAAGTCATGTGATCGTGCTGTAGTTCCTTTATAGCCCAACATTAGCCACCTTTAGCTTAGCGGTGGAGACGTGAAGTCATGTGACCGTGCTGTAGTTCCTTTATAGCCCAACTTTAGCCACCTTTAGCTTAGCGGTGGAGACGTGAAGTCATGTGACCGTGCTGTAGTTCCTTTATAGCCCAACATTAGCCACCTTTAGCTTAGCGGTGGTGACTTGAAGTCATGTGACCGTGCTGTAGTTCCTTTATAGCCCAACATTAGCCACCTTTAGCTTAGCGGTGGTGACGTGAAGTCATGTGACCGTGCTGTAGTTCCTTTATAGCCCAACATTAGCCACCTTTAGCTTAGCGGTGGTGACTTGAAGTCATGTGACCGTGCTGTAGTTCCTTTATAGCCCAACTTTAGCCACCTTTAGCTTAGCGGTGGTGACGTGAAGTCATGTGACCGTGCTGTTCCATTATAGCCCAACATTAGCCACCTTTAGCTTAGCGGTGGTGATGTGAAGTCATGTGACCGTGCTGTAGTTCCTCTATAGAGTGTCGAAGTCCCTCCCCTTCCGGTGGACCTCCATGGGACCTTATTTCGGAAAATTATGTATTGAAGTCAATGGAGAGAGAAAGATTATCTTTCGATCCCGTTTGAATTGTGCCCACGAATTACACATATGATGTTTGTCAATTTAAAAGATAATTTTGCAAGTCAAAAAAAAAAAAAATGTGTCGTAAACTGTGAAGTACACATTTGTTATTGTGTGAAACGCTCAATGAACTACATCTCTGGTCACAACACACGTCACCCCAAGATGGCCGTCACTACTGTCTTGTCACAAAACGATTGACTACCCTCACTATCACCACAATGAAACACGTCCTGAAGAATGTCATGGTAAAGCCTGCCTGCCTGCCTTCCTTTGATTCCTCTGAACTGCCTGGTCGTTTAATGTTTAATGTCAACCATTTGTGCAGATAGCATGAAGTAGAGAAGATCGCTAAAGCGTTAGCGTTAGCATTTCTCCCCCGGGCTTAAATTGTGTATTATAGAATGATCACACCGTGTGACAGTACTCTTCAAAGGGTTTCACGAAATATGACTACTTACTCTCTTACTGTTAACATTTTGGGTTACTTAACGTTACTTATCATGTTAAGGCTAATACAAATGACAAGGCTGTAATGCTAACTAACGTGCTAGCTACTAGCTAGCTTGATCCAGACACTCCTGGTCCTTTCAATCAGACGGGAAGCGAAAGAACGAGCAAGACCCATTGCTGGTATGATAACAACCTGGTACTAAGCACACAGGCATCTTGTTAAAGTTATCTTAGCCAGCGCCATATAGATAGATTATATCTATATGGCGCTGATCTTAGCTATCTCTTAGTGGAGGAAAACAATTGTGACATCACTTACGCGACTCTGGGATTTGTAGTCGTTTCTAGTGCGTATTTTTCATAGTCTTATATTTCAACAGTTTTACGACAAACTGTGACTTTTTTGACATGGAAATGATTTTTTAAGATTGACAAACATCATATGTGTAATTCATGGCACAATTCAAACGGGATCGAAAGATACGTTTTCTCTCTCCATTGACTTCAATACATTATTTTTCCGAAATAAGGTCCCATGGGGCGGAAGTAGATGGGCGTGACTTCGCCACTCTATTGCAGAAGTAAAATAGCCAGACAGTATTTCCAGCATGCATCTTTCCATCCTCCATGTATCTGAGTGTTGGTTCAGCTGCAGGAGGCTGAGTGACGGAGGGTCTGTCCTCCATAATGACTTAATTGAGGTGGTTAACACTTTGAGGATAATGAGAGCCTGCAGACCACAACAGACCCAGGAGTGAGAGACACACACACAACACACACACCACACACACACACACACACCACACACACACACACACACACACACACACACACACACACACGGAGGGAACTCAGTGTGTATTATTAATAGCAGCACAAATCATGTTCCTCTCTCTGTCTCGTCAAACTGTTTTAATTTAACTCTCTGAGTGGACTTTATATGTTCATTTTCTTTGTCAATAACCCAAAGCTATTGCACCAAATGTTGCATTAAACCTAATAGTATTTATTACCAATTTAGTGAAGCATGGTTGGGAATTGTGTCCTAAAAACGTTTTTAAGTGCCACTTTATCAGTGGGACAATATTGTGAATTACTTTTGCCAGGATAGTCGTTTTGTCTTTCCCTTTAAGTTTAGCAGCATTTATACCTACTTAAGCTTGATGTCAGCATTTGATACTGCACAAAAACAACTATTTCAATTAATTAAATATATCTCCAAGCCTTAGTTGTAATGATCAAAGACTCAGCTCAGACTTAACCAGCAACACCATAAAGATGTCATTACGTTTAAATTTGTCTGCAGTGTATTTGCCTACGTCACTAACATATTCACACACACACACACACTCAGGGATCGATGGTGAAAGTGTCACATTACCGCTAATGTAATCAGCAGTTTACTGGGAGTAATTACAGAGCAGACCGAGGCCCGCAGAGTCCTTCAAGCTGCAGACACAAGAACAATCTCCACATATTAAAACTTTATGATTTCTGAAGTGAAAAGCTAATGTTGGGCTGTAAAGGAACTACAGCACGGTCACATGACTTCACGTCACCACCCGCTAAG